GAAGGCGGAAATGTTGTAGGCCCGTGTGCTCAGATTTGGGTGCACGTTAAAGAACCCCAGGTGGTCGAAATTTCCGGCGCCCTCCGCGACGGCGTCTCTCATAATCGTATGGTGGTTTTGGGACGTTAAACCCCACATATCAATGAATCAATCATGCACTGATTTGTCGTGTGTCGCACCCGTCAAGGCCTTCCTCTTGTATTTTTGTTCTACTAATCGAATAAATAGGATATTTAAAGCATAATTAACATTTGTTATAGCCTTTCTAAAAGCGTCTCCTAAAACTGCAACTTACTGTACAAAAAGGAAAGCCGCATCGATAGTGATACGTGGTGATCGGTTAATCGCGCGCGGTGAGTAAAAACGTTAGTCGGCCATTCACAGACGCATATTGCCGGGCTCGTTATATCAACCACCTGGCAACGTTCGGTAATCGAACGCTCTCTTTCAAAAGAACACGCCTTCGAAGATGACGTAATTTATGTTGCGTTTTTCGGTGTCACACCAACTGACTGCGGGGTAAATTAGTAATACCTTCGCAATGCAATAGGCAGGATTTAGAGTACTATGCGTGGTATAATTTTTGAAATGCGGTGAGATTGGGCGTAGCTAATGGCGAATTTTTCGAACACGAAACAATAGATATACGAGAACGAGAGATACGAAGGGCGCTAGATTAGTCTGAAGATTGTTTGTTTGTACCCACTCTGGGAGATTGGCCAAGAATGTAAGGTGGAGACTTTGAAATGTTATTTTAGGAATGGGCCTAGGTGATTAAAAAACAATGTAATATAACGGCAATGATACGTAATACACTAAATTTAAATTACAAGTATTATGCTGTTGAGCTTGCAATTCAGAGAAAGCAGCACCCGTCCTGTTTCTCTCGTTCTCGTGAATGTCTTGTTTTCGTCCCCCCCCCCCCCCCCAAAAAAAAATATCATTGGTAGCGAAGTTTCCAAATAGAAAAACCACGCTTCAACACTGTGGCTGCTCGTGGCAGCCGTTGCCATTTTGTGCCGACCGGTTGTGCTTCTAGAATTAACACTGTAGTTGTGCCCCTGCGATGTCCGACGATAGTGCTTTGCTCTGGCCGACCGGCTCGCCCTCCACCATCTCCTGACGCCGTGGAGCTCTCGCTGAGTGGTACCCCATCCTCGGACTCCTGCGACCGTGTCCATCTTTTCTATATTCTTCTGTATGTGGGTCTCCCTGTCCCTGCCCCTATCCCTATCCCTTTTATTCCTCCTTACCCCCATCCCTCGTGAGCCACTGTTTAGGTGTTGCACTCTGATGCAGACAGTTACGGGGCTCACTTTTATCTTCTTTTCTCTTGAGAATCACTTACACGCCCACGTATCGCGGGGAAAGCTAACGGCTAGCGAAAAATAAAAACTACATCGCAAGGGAATGCAGTAACGATGTCGCGTTTTTGCCCCCCATGGCGCGAAATTGGCCCCGCCGCGGTGGTCTAGTGGCTAAGGTACTCGGCTGCTGACCCGCAGGTCGCGGGTTCGATTCCCGGCTGCGGCGGCTGCATTTCCGATGGAGGCGGAAATGTTGTAGGCCCATGTACTCAGATTTGGGTGCATGTTAATGAACCTCAGGTGGTCAAAATTTCCGGAGCCCTCCACTACGGCGCCTCTCATAATCAAATGGTGGTTTTGGGACGTTAAACCCCACAAATCAATCAATCAATGGCACGAAATTGCGAAACAGCTTTTTTTATATATATTGCTGCTATTTTACGTAAGCCTTTGAAAGCTATGCAACTTGTTTTTTTTTATTTATGGCTCACTAATAGACCTTTCACAAACTGCTTCCTCGATGCTGCCATTTTCTCACTGGGCTCTGCTAAATAGGCGTGCCCCCCCCCCCCCCCCCCCCCCCCCCCACTATCCTGTAGAGGCCCCAGGTGCACTGCCGAGGCGGTGACGAAGCCTTTGTACTCCCGCGCGCAGCCTAGCATGGCGTTTTTGTTGGTTTGTTTCTCTCTCCTGTTAAAAGGTCTATTGTCGCATGAGAGAGAACAGGAAGACAAATAAGAAAGATTGGAAAAGTAAGCTTAATTTCTCATTTCAGCACGTTTTCTCACTTCACAAGCGTCTTCCCGTGACGAGGGGCACAGTGATGTAGCCGGGTGTCTGCCCAGAGGCCCGGAGCCAGCCAGAGTCTCGGGGAGATGTCAAGGAGAGCCCGAAGGTGTTAACAGTAACATTTAATTACATTATATACAGGTACCATGTTACTACATGATGGGGGCAGCATCATGCCGTTGTCAGACAGGAAAGAGACGTGGTGCCCAGAGGCGCTTTGTCTCACAGACTCACGTAACTCATCAGCTCATCATCATCTATACGTCTGTCCCGGCATGTCCTCCCTGCCGGGGTCGTGTGACGAGGAAGATTTTTTTTTAACAGAGCTTCTCTGAACTGTCTCTTCTTCTCTGAAGAAGGTTTGTTTTGGGCAGAGAAGGCCCCAGAAAAGATCCAATTTGTTTTGAGCAGAGCTTCTCTGAATTGTTTCTTCTTTTCTGAAGAAGATTTGTTTTGGGCAGAGAAGCTCTCATGGGAACTTCTGGGAACTTGTCTGGAGCGTGTCGACGCTCGCATTTTATGCCCTGGCCTTCCCAGGATTCCCTGGAGAAAAAACAATGAAAGCCAGGACAGTTCAATGAAAATTGCCATCTTCACCTCCGCCCCTAAATGGGTAAGGTGAAACATAGCTTCCTTCCCGACCCAGAATAGAGGGAAGAGGCACGCCCAGTTCATCACATGGCGAGGGAGAAAACAGTGCACACCGCGCACGACACAGCGCAGCACGAAAACGTTGAGTCCTACGTGGAAATAAACTTCGTAGTCCGTTGCACGGGCGCTGCGACGTGCTCCCAACCAAGCTACAGAAATCAGGCGCCTTCTTGCAGCGCCGAGCAGATCAGGTTTGCGGAAACGGCGGCAAAGACACCACGGAGAACGTGGGAAATGCACCCGCAGACGGTTCTCAGACGCTCCACTCATTGCCCTGGGTACCTTGACGACAAAGCGAGCAACCTCGACAGCCAACAGCTCTTCCTAAGCCGTCAGTTGGTCAGGCGTGTCCAAAGGGATTTACGAGGGGCGCCGACGGCCCTGGAGAACTTGAAGAACGACTTTCATGTTGTCGCCGCTCTTGGTGCATCTCTGGAACCGCTCACCCGGAAGAGAACAAGGTTGGCTCAGCCGCAACGTCTCATTCGTCCAAGCACCGCCAAAGCAAGGAGGTCGATCATACAGTCCCTTTCATAATTCGCAAGGGCGCTTCTCTGCACTGCATATTTGTCCCAGAAATGTCGTCAACGTGCTAGGGCTTGTCTATTGTGAGTGTTTCTATTAGGAGAGCCCACTCTACATTTTCCCCGTCATTGCGTAAGCAAACCGCGCTTGAACAGGCTATGTGCAGCAAGTGACAAGCAGCCATTAGTTTTTCAAACTGCATAGCAGGAAAGATAACTTTACAATATTGAAAAGCGTCTATTGTGATATCGTAATATACTGATATGAGAATAACTTTTCAACGTCTGTATCCCTTTAAGGAAACTCCTCGCACTACGTTATATTGGCAGATGTCTTTTTTTTTTTTTCAAGTAGTTTCAAGAACTCACGCGGCCCTGTGATAGAACTGTTTGCCCCGCTCACGTATAGCGGTATCGATACCCACTTGAGCAGCAGGCTCTTCTTGTTAATTTGTTTGCATGTATTTCGAATTTTCGCTCGCAGACAGCGCTGCTTTTCCGTTCAGAACCGACATCGACACCGGAATTGCTGTGGAACGAGATTGGGAGAGGGTGGATTCAAGCCGATGAACCTCTTCCACAGAGTTTCTCTTAGTGAGAAAACTGTTCATAGTTGGAATAATCGCCTCCCGCACTCGCTGGATGGCCCTCTCATCAGTCGTTTCTTTCCTGCTCAGGGCTCGAATACATAAAGAAAAACGAATATTAAGCAACAGTGAATTGTTTTTTTTTTAATAGGTTTTCTACACGATTTCGAAATATCAGTGAGAAAGGGGTTTGCAATCAGGGGCGGATCCAGCCACTTATTTTAGGAGGGGGGGGGGGTGCTTGAAATAACACTAGATAGGTTACTTTTTTGTTTTTACGAGCACAAAAACTCTGTCATATAACATAAATACTGTTGATGTGGCCAAAGTAGTCCCGCTCATTTGTCCTGATTGGTGACGGTGGGTGGATGGCAAGCAATAAAGAGAGAAGGAGGGGGCGCCGACGGGCTTTTGGGGGAGGATGATCGCCCCGACCCCCCCCCCCCCTCCGTCCCCTTTGGATCCGCCACTGTTTGCAGTGCCCCGGCCGCTGGACGAGGCAGTGCACACCCTTCTGCTTAAGGATCGAAAGATTACATCGCTCCTCGCGTGTGCTGAGAAAAAGCAGTCAACAGACTACTTTCAACGTTCGCTTCCGATTCCTGTTCCTGGGATTAAACAACCAATGATGATGATCAAAGCTTTATTACTCCCAAAGGAGGGGACCGACCCACACACAGATCGAAAGCCCCACTGCTGTAGTTGCGGGGTCCAACACCGGCTGCGGCGGCTGCATTTTCGATGGAGGCAGAAATGTTAATTGGGCCCACTGATCTCCACTAAATCAGTGGTTGAAGCCTGTGTACTTTATTTAGGTACACGTTAAAGCACCCCAGCTGGTCGGAATTAACGGAGCCCTCCACTAAGGTGTCAGTGAGTGAGTGAACAAACTTTATTCAAAACAGCGAATAGACCCTTTCTCTCAGCCGCCTCCTGTTCTCGCTGGATGGCCCTCTCATCAGAATCGTCTCTCATATCATATGGTAATTTTGGAATGCTAAACTCCAGATATTATTATCTGGGGTTTAACAACCGAAACTAAACGTGGAAAAAACGTGCGCTCTCTTGCTGCCTTAGCGCTATCATCATCGCCGTCAATTTCGACTTTGCTGGTGGCGCCTTCTTGCGGCGAGCGTGTTTCAGGGAACAGCAGCAACAGCGGCGGCGGTCGCTGCGGCTCGAGCCCTTGTGTTCTCAGCCCGCGGTTAGCTACCGGCACGGAGGTGTAGCGGCGGTTGCTGCGGCTCCTGCAGTGCCCCAGCAGCCAAGATGTCGTCGTCGGAGACCCAGGCGACGAACCGAACGTGGGAACTGAGCCTGTACGAGATGAACCGGACGCCTCAGGACGTCATCACGGACAGCACCGAGATCGCCGTGTCGCCGCGCAGCCTCCACAGCGAGCTCATGTGTCCCATCTGCCTGGACATGCTGAAGAACACCATGACCACCAAGGAGTGCTTGCACCGTTTCTGTCAAGAGTGCATCATCACGGCGCTGCGCAGCGGCAACAAGGTGAGAGGGCTTCGCTTGTGCAGCCGTGCCGGCAGCGCGCACGCACGGCCGCTGTGCGCGGATTGCTTGGCTCGCTGTAAACAATCGACCGTGCGCTCATCCGCCTTCAGCCGCGGGCTAAATTTGCGCCGCGAGCCCCGGGAGACCAGCTGACGCTTTCGACGCGATATTGCGGCGATCCCCCGCGAAGACAGCTGTCCGAATTGGTGAGGGGATTGTCTCTCCGTACCACGGCGTTCTGTCGCGCCGGGCTTTTCAGTGCACGCGCCTTGTGCTGAGTGCCCCGAAAGAGGTTGAGACGAAGACAAAGTAAAACAAACTGTGCGACATATTCAAAGCACTAAAGGCGCGAAGCTAGCTTCAGGTGCACCGACAGCGGCGTGATCGGTTCGCTGTGTCGAGCGGACTATGTCGATATGTGGCGACTTGTCGAAGGCAGATGGCTGATGAGATTCCAGAGATGTGCGGCACGCACCTCAGCGCATGTGTCACGTGCGGCTCTCGCGTTGGCCCAAGGAGGCAGTCGTCGCAGTTACAAATCTCAAACGCTATTTCAAATCTCAACTGCAGGCGCCGAATTCAGTATCTGGATACAGAAGTACGTGATGGCCGAGTGGCCGAACTTTCTCTGTTCACTCTGCTCCGCCGCGGTGGTCTAGTGGCTAAGGTACTCAGCTGCTGACCCGCAAGTCGCGGGATCGAATCCCGGCTGCGGCGACTGCATTTCCGATGGAGGCGGAAACGTTGTAGGCCCATGTGCTCAGATTTGGGTGCACGTTAAAGAACCTTAGGGGGTCGGAATTTTCGGAGCCCTCCACTACGGCGTCTCTCATAATCATATGGTGGTTTTGGGACGTTAAACCTCACATACCAATCAGTCTCTGTTCACAGAGAACACATCGCTTTCCTTGTTTTAGGTGGAAGCTCGCTAGGACCTAGGGTTCGTCGCGGGTAGATTCGTGGATGCGAGACACAAGCTCAAACCCTTTATGGCAGTTGGGGACTTCAACGTACACATTATGGATCTTAGGAAGAGCTTCGTCATCGACTCTTTATGTCGCTTTATGAATGAGAACTAACAGACAATAATGCAAGGGAAAGTATAGGGAATGTTGTTCTATCTGTAAGGGGAGTCGCTTGCTGGATTCCGTGCCGACCGCTTGTGCGCTCGCGCGCTCCGCGCGCTTGCGATCTCCGGCGTCAGCGTAGCTCTGGCCGACTGGGCTCGCCCTACGTCACCTCCTGACGCCGACGACTTTCGGCGACAGTGTAGCTCTGACTTACTGGACTTGCTCTACGCCATCCACCGACGCCGACAAGAGCTCTCGCAAGTGTGTCCCGTCCTCGGACTCCAGTGACCGTGCTTCCATCTTTCCTATCTCTCCTATCCCCTCAGTTTGTTGTTGCTTCTTCTTCCTCTTTTCTACACCTTTACTCCTACCCTTTTTATCCCTCCTCACCCCCATCCCTTGTGAGCTACTGTGGCGGTGTCCCTCACTGAAGCAGACAATAACGGGGCTCACTTTTCTCTTCCTTTCTCTCTCTTAAGAATCACTCATAATTAACTGTAATGTAAATGTGAAGAAAGAACAGATAACTTGCCACCAGCAGGATCCAAACCTGTGACCTTCGTATAACGCGTCCGACACTCCACCACTGAGCTATGGTGGCAGTCATCCCGCAACCCTCTTTATAGGATATATATGTACATTTAAATGTGCGAGCGTCAGTCAGCGCCACCTGTAGCCTTTACAATTTGCACCCTGCCTGTGGCAAGTTATCTTTTCATCCACTTTTCTTTTTTTCACATTTACATTACAGTTACTTATAGTAACATCCCCTATACTTTTTCTGTCATTATTGTCTGTTAGTTCTCATTACTTTTATGTCTAACAAATTAAAACAAGCCTTTAAATTAACAGTCACTTTATGTCACTCAATTTACACTATATCGAGCAATGCTCAGGTAACATATGAGACATTAAAAAGTTTCGCCATACACTAATATCAATCGTAATTGGGACAGAACAATATAATACACCTACGAGCATGAATCCTTTATATTAATTGGCGACATTCATATTATGGACTTTAGGACCTAGTGTCGCCCGCTCGTCATTATTTGCTTTGTGGAGATGCATCGATTTTCTTAAGCATGTTTCCTGCTACAGCGGACAACACATGCATTGGATAACCTGTGTGTGAGAAACATGCAGCTTGGTTGTCGAAGCTTCTGTGAGTGAAGTGGGTGCAAAACTGCAAAAGGGCACATTCTTTTGAAGTTTCCTTGACTGCTGGTGTTTGCTTACATTAGGTAGTGTATATTCCTGGTGATCAGTGGTCACATTAGCATGCTCCATAGCAGTGCAGACCCCCCACCCCCAGGGGCGGCGCCAGGATGTTTTTACTGGGGGGGCAACCACGAAAAGTGAGTTCCTCCGGGGGGCAAGCTAGCTCTGCTCGTACTAGGTTTTCAATATATGCTTCCGGGCACTTGGGTGGGCATAGGGGGGGCAGGCGAGAATTTCGGGGGGGGCTCCAGCCCACCCTTGCCCCCCCCTGGCGCCGTCCCTGCCCACCCCCTGTTTGAGGCTCCCTTGAGGCTTTTCAAAAAACTGTATACACAGTGTTTTGAATAGTGTCAAAGCATTCTGCAAATACTTTGCGCCTTTGTTTGTCGCCATGTCAAGCATACCATTCCAGTCAACTTTGAAGTAACAGGGAGCAAGAGATATGCAACGCATTCGTTAAGCTAAAGCATTTCTCCAAGGAAAGTTATAAGTGATCTTGTTGTGTGAAATGCTCAGGCAGAAGTAGTCCACGCGCCGAGAATGTCACTTATCTTCAAGGATGATTATCTTTAGAGATCCATTTCCGATGGAGGCGGAAATGTTGTAGGCCCGTGTGCTCAGATTTGGGTGCACATTAAAGAACCCCAGGTGGTCTAAATTTCCGGAGCCCTCCACTACGGCGTCTCTCATAATCATATAGTGGTTTTGGGACGTTAAACCCCACATATCAATCGATCAATCTTTAGAGATTGCTAAGATGTTGTTTGAAAGAAGACCCCTGATATCTGGCCAAGATAATACTGATTCATTCTTGAAAAAACTGGGCTTGAAGGAACAAGGCTGTATAAGTTAAGAACAAACGCTACATGCCTGAGCTCACAAGAAAAGTATGGTTAGGAAAATAGGCTGGTAAATATTTCAACATCTTGCAAGGGTCTGCAGGGCAAGTGCAGAAGTGCTGAAGGAAAAGTTCTTGAAACCTGCCTGGAGGTAATGTGTGAAAAGTTGATGTGACAACTGTAAGCATTGTGTAAAGCCATTACTAAAAGTTACAAGAACTTGTTGTAGCTAGGACTAAGCTCAGATCCTACATGCTATATTAGTAGCTTTGTTCTGTGTGCTTGAAAATCAGAATCCTGCATATTTGCCAAATCGAGGTTGCACATTTGGTTATCAAATATCCACGCGATTTATACCATGGTATATGGTCACACGGCACATAAACAAAGAGCATGCACTGGCAAGCATACTCGTTGTTCTATAGCCAGTTCCATACATGTTTATTCAGGTAAAAAATTGCGCTGAAAAAGAAAGGACACCACAAAGAAGGAACACTTAAACAGATCGAGCGCAAACTACCAACTGTTTTTTATTGACTGTAGAACGTCGGTAAAATAGGTAACCCGTACATAGCTGCGCCGACGCGTCGAGGATCAACACGTGCTACTTAACGCATCTTATCAATCAAAAAGGACACTTCTGCACCGTAGAGCGATACCGAGGCCTCACTTACACAGCTATCACCTTTCATGTTGATGAAGAATGCTTCCAACACCTCACGAGCACACGTATCTCTGCTATGTCCCAGTATCTTAGTCTCCTGAAATAGTGGTTCACATCCACATGCTGCGCAGTGTGCAGGCAAATTTCCCATTTCACTATTTTTGATCGACAGCTGGTGTTCACGTATGCGATCGTTAACGCAGCGGCCTGTTTGGCCCACGTAAGATCTGCCGCAGGAAAACGGAGTCGCATATACCACTCCCACATCGCATTGCACCACCGGGTTGGCATGCTTCTTGTTACACAGGCTAGTGCGCTCATTGCCGCTCGAAATTCGCGCGCACAACCTCGAGAGCTTCTTAGGTGCAGAAAACACCATGTCAACTCCGTGCCGGTTAGCAACCTTCTTCAGGTTGTGCGTCACCCGGTGTAAATAGGGTACCACTAACGGCCTCTCACGCCCACTTGGCGCGTCTTTCAGGCACTGCTTCCGTGATCGCCCTTTTAGCTTCTTCAGGAGGGTTTCGGCCACCGCCGCCAGCACAGACTGCGGGAACGCGGCTGCCTTCAGTCGTTCAATCTGAGCACGGAAGCTGGCCTGCCTCTCATGCGAGCACGACCTCACCAGCGCAGACTCCAAACACATTGAAGCGATCGCCCTCTTAACTACCTTAGAATGTGATGATGTATATGGTAAAGGCTTCTTTCTAGCACGCGCACTAGCCTGTGTAACAAGAAGCATGCCAACCCGGTGGTGCAATGCGATGTGGGAGTGGTATATGCGACTCCGTTTTCCTGCGGCAGATCTTACGTGGGCCAAACAGGCCGCTGCGTTAACGATCGCATACGTGAACACCAGCTGTCGATCAAAAATAGTGAAATGGGAAATTTGCCTGCACACTGCGCAGCATGTGGATGTGAACCACTATTTCAGGAGACTAAGATACTGGGACATAGCAGAGATACGTGTGCTCGTGAGGTGTTGGAAGCATTCTTCATCAACATGAAAGGTGATAGCTGTGTAAGTGAGGCCTCGGTATCGCTCTACGGTGCAGAAGTGTCCTTTTTGATTGATAAGATGCGTTAAGTAGCACGTGTTGATCCTCGACGCGTCGGCGCAGCTATGTACGGGTTACCTATTTTACCGACGTTCTACAGTCAATAAAAAACAGTTGGTAGTTTGCGCTCGATCTGTTTAAGTGTTCCTTCTTTGTGGTGTCCTTTCTTTTTCAGCGCAATTTTTTACCTGAATAGAATGAACCAACTAGCCCCTCAAGACGTCCTGATCGATACATGTTTAAGTGCTTTCATAGCGGGCTCGTTAGGAAAGAAACGATTGAGAATAGCACACATGAGAGCGTGTGCTCCATGTGCCGCCCCACATGGAAGTAGGGGAAAACAAAACATTAAGTAAACAACAGTTGATTGTTTGCAGGACACACACAGTGAAATATGAAGTCATGCGCAGGTAATGCATTTGCTGCTTTAATCCATAAATAGAAAGTTCAGAAACCCTTTCTCTGTCTAGAAAGTGTAGGCAAGTGAAGCCTAGATTGTGTATGCCAGACCTACTGCTTCCTTTTTCTTTCAATGCGAAATGCTCTCTCCTAGTTCTTAGAGTGCAGCTCTTAGGCGCCAGTTCTCCATTGAGCGGCAACACCGTCGCTGGTATAATCAGTTGACATGGAATAATAAAATTAGAAAAACGTGCCCCGTGATTGAACGGGAATTGAACCTTGTCCCTCCGCGTGGCAGTCGGCCACAGAGCCACACTTGTGCTTGTAGCTCGCTTGCTGAAAGACCCTCTGACAGGCGTTATGTCGGTCAAGGAATTGTGTTAACCTATGTAATGTAGCGTGGCAGAAGAGTGAGATAACACTAGGCATAATGCAATGTTTTTTCTGCATAATGTGTGTGTGGTTTAACGCTTCCCACCCATTGCAAAGTGCTCAGCCATAATTTTTTGTCCAAGCTGCACGCAGCATCGACCAAGTGCATATAATACCTTACTGGTGTGTGGCGGGTGCCTTGCTTACCTGCAGAAGCACAAATAATGGCATAGTGGGCACTGCCCTACATAACCCACTTACGAATTATTGCCTAATGGGCACCTTGCAAAAAGTCTAACAGAGTTAGCCTTGGCCCAACATAAAGCTGGGCTCAGGGTTGCCCTTAGGCATTATCGTAATCTTCAGTAACTTTTGCCTTCCTCCACACCTCGGATCAGACCTTCATCCACATGCTTAGCAGCGCAACACTTCTGCTACTACAGGCAACTACGACAGTCGTGTGGTGATCGCCCGGTGACAGTGAAACATGGGGTGAAATAAAAAGTGACCCCAGTAAAAATAAATCAAATTACCATATCAGAAACAGCTGACTACCAACCCACAATTGAGAGAGCATCACTTATCGGGACAACAATGCATACAAATACGCATGTGACCAGCTCACTATTGAGGGCCTTGTCATTGTGCGTTTGCTGGCACAGCACAGCACAAAAATCTGTGCCTTACAAGCGCTTCTCCTAAAAGGAATTCATTAACTTTGTTGTGCGTGCAAAGGTCTTAAGTTGTAACAATGAGGATGCATTAAAGAAGTTGATTTTAAGTACCAGCTATCTTCCACTTCTTGCAGAACAACTAGCATCTTGTTGTTCTGAAGCTTACTCATCATCCATGACTGCTCTTGGCAAAAGTTCACCACTTTATTCAAATCGTTTTATTATGCTTTCTGGCGGAACTTTCGCTCGGAAGTTCTCTGTTGGTACAATGCTGGCTTAACCCACTTTTCGTTTCCAACTTTGTCATAACAGTGGCAGTGGGCAACATTTCTGAGCAATCACTTATGTAGAAAAGTCATCTAAAGGCAGTTATGGAAGTGTTGCTCCGGTCGCTCCAAACATCTCCAAAAGAGAAATGCTACTTCATGCTGCTCCAAATTGTGGTTTTTGTTGCTAACTTCTCCGAACCTGCTCTAAAATGACACTGATAAATTTAAGATGAGCAACTTTAACTGTCTGACCAACTTGCAAGCTCTAAAGAAACTTAGTATAGTATGATCGTTGCATGTTAATATGCAAATTTATGCAACAAGAACTGGCATGTCACACTTTCAGACCATTTAGCAATTTTCAGTTTGACATGCAGACTGTTTCGGTGATATGTAAAAATGATTGAGATTGCTCAATCAAGCAATCAATCAAACAAGCAACCTAATCTTTCGTTTTCTCAAACTCAAACAAGCAATCTAATCATTTGTTTTCTGCAATTTATGTTGATTGTAGGCTGTAAAACATCTTTTATAATCAATAATAATATTTATGATACACTTTGGTGATGTTTTGAATTCTAGGAGTTGTATGGCATATTTCGCAATCTGCTCCTAAAACACCAATAACTGCTCCAAGCTAGTGTTTTTTCCGCTAAGAAAACATTTGTGGCTTCTTCAAAGTGGTACTTTTCCTGCTCCAAATGCTGCTCCAAGAAGTAAAAGTCACCGTCTAAAAGTGTTATAAAGTGTTCACAACACAATATCTGTGCACAGCTCTCCTGATGGAGAAGAGAGCACTGATGGTCTGTGGTGTTTTCATGACCTTTCTGAAAACACTGAAGGCATCTTAATGCCTGATCTTTTATTTTGGCTTCCCTTTACATACGCTGAAGTTTATTAATATCAACCTTATTCCTGACCAAGGTTGCAAGCAAATTCATCACGTGGGATCCTTAATTGCTACTGCAAGAGCACTTGTTCTTGAGTTTTGAGAAGAAAAAAGAACAAAGCAAATGAAATTTTTTGCAGCTGGCTAAATTCACTGAGTTGAAGGGTTTTTCTGTACAGTGGTGGAATCGCATGTCAGAAATGTGAGTGCTGTCAGTGCTAAGTTCAGCTCTATTATTCTGGTTGCGTTGCACTATCAGTCTGCCCCTCCTCATCAGATTCACTCAAACACTAGGTGCTCCCAATCTTTTTTTTATTCTTTGAGATGTTTACTAAGAAAGCTGCTGTGACAGTCTTAAAGATTTCATTTTCAGATGGGAACTAGTAGCACATGGTAGGCCTTACCCAGATTGGATCAGCACCTTTGAAACAAATTCACTGACATGGAAAAAAAGATTGTGATCTGTGCGCTCTGCAATTATCTCTCACACTATGACAGACAATTGTAGACGCCTGCCTATGGTTTTTTGTTTTGTTTTGTTTTTGAAGTTGACAGGCAGCTTTGAGACACCAAGAAGATCAGTTTTTTTATCATTCAGTTTCCTTTTTTTTTCCTGATCACGTCATCTCGCTTGTGATTTTTTTGTGCATTTCTCCACGCAGGAGTGCCCGACCTGCCGCAAGAAGCTGGTGTCCAAACGCTCGCTGCGGGCGGACCCCAACTTCGACATGCTCATCGCCAAAATCTACCCGAGCCGGGACGAGTATGAGGCACACCAGGAACGCGTGCTAGCCAAGCTGAACCGGCAGCACTCGCAGGCTCTGGCACACAGCATCGAGGAAGGCATGCGCATGCAGGTGGGTCTTTTCTCAAAACGGGTACTTGGCCAAACCCGTAACGTGCGCTTACAGGGACACTAATAAATAGAAAAACAAGTTTTATCACGTTTGTGAATTATCATTTTGCGACATCAAAAGTACCACCTTGCCACAAGAGGACACTTGGTAAGTGAGAAAAGATTCCAAAAGGAAATGCAGGTGGTAATGCTCCAATGAAGATCCCCCACCAGCTTGCTGTGACATCGTGGATTCTGACGTCTCGTAGAAGCTGTGTAATCATTTGTCCCTAAATGCGTTATACATTTTAATTAAAGGTATAGAAGATTGCTCATGCCCTAACTTTGTAATTAACTCTAATAGCTATCTCCAGCTGGTAAACAAATCACTTCTGTCTTTTCACTGTGCATCAGCTAAGCAGGGTGGCTTGGGCTGCAGGGGCCTCCAAAGGAAGGTGACTCAACACGTTGGTATTTGTTTCAAGACTTCTTTATTGCAAACAAAGACCAGAAAAGTTAGAAAAGAAAGAATAGGAAGGAGGAAAGATCAAAGACGAAGGCTGCCGTGGAAAAGGTGCGTGCGCCGCCCTTTGCGTCCCACCGGCATTGTGTTGTTGGTCCGTCGACGTCTCTCACAACTTGTGTAATGAGGCGGCAATAGTCAGACTTGTTAGTATTTGACGACAGTGTCTATCTGGTGGGAAGATATGCAAAGATTTTAGGAATTCTTAACCCAGGGGGCACATAGCCACAACAGCACAAGTTTCAGAAAGCTTCATTGAACGAGCATGAGAAATATAAACAAAAATACCTTTACAGAGACAAGGGGCAGTTTAGGGGTTGTTTTTCTTTGTTCAACACTGCATTATTTGAAAGACGCAGACAAGAAAGTCGAGGATGTTAGGATAGAGGATGGTATTTATAGTAATTGTGATGTGATGTTATTTGTAGTAATTGCAACATAATTTTTCGATTAAGCATACAAAATTTGAAGTTTGTGTCATCTCACTGACATTCATGTTCTGAAGTGTCAGCACGAAATTCAAAACAGTTGCAAAAAGTATGAACAGTGCAAGAAAGACGTAACACAAGCCAAAGGCACACATAGGATCAGCGTTTACTAACAACTGAGGGTTTTAGTGCTTCGACCCAATATATTGTATTTTCCAATATATAAGAAGCACCTATTTTTGACAACGTCAAAATAATAAAACACGACGCATGCATCGTACATTCATTGCGAAAAGCATAGTCACACACAGCGTTTAATGTCTGTAAGCAGTAGTATAAAACTTAATAACGCTGTTCTGAGGTGCAGAAAAGCCATTATTTATTCGACAGAATTCGAAACCACACCCTTAAGTGTACTGTCAAAAGTTCTTCCGCGCCGGTTAGCAGCATCATGGTGTTGTCGTCAACGTCTGGGTAACTCTCTTGCGCGACGTTGAAGGCACTTTGGAGCACATCATTGGTGTTGTCTCTACGGGATTATGAGGTTTGGCAGAAATACACAATGAACCGGCTGCACGTTTCACACCTACGCACATGCATACAAAACCTAAATAGCAAACGGAAGCTGCAACTAATGCAGGACTGGAGTGATGCGATCTCTCACGCGGAAACTGATTATTATAATGATGATGATGATGATAACAACGTGGTACTTTCATTTCTGTAAGTGGTATTGCGGGCGCTACAATGTTGGAATTAAACATTGTCCTGCCCTTCTTTATTTATTGGCTCAGTTCCATTGGCTTAAGGATTCATTTAAAAACAAGGAATTTAAACAATACAAAAATTAGCTTGACGATGGTGGCTTTTATTGTGGCCGTAATCTCTGTGGTCATCACGGTGCTAGAACAGTGGGTGGCTGACTTCTAAAACCACATCCGCTTCATTGTTATAACAAGATTAGATATCGTTTTATGAATGCACGCACGCTCACTTTATCGTAATCGCAAATAAAAGGTCAACATAGTGGTCTCACATAATCGCATGACTTTTTGCATATTGCATATATAAGACACATCAGTGAACATATCAGGAAAAAAGCTAATCTTATAGATTAAAAAAATATGGTAAAGAAAAATATGTAATAAAACGCGGCACTTTAAACTACAAGCCTTCATCACGATAACAACGGGCGGAAGCTGTCAATTGAAAAGTTATAATTAAGTGATCCCCACATGCAAATATATTAGGCACATGTGAGATGATTAACACTTTTCTTAACGTCACGAATAGTTTGCTTACACTGGTGTCGCCCCTTAGTTTGACATGAAAAACCTTGGCTATCGGACAACTTGCACATGCTAGTGTATCTTCCTATGACTATGCAGTTTCCGAACTCTGGTGTGCATCGGCACGTGCTGCAGTGGAATGCCGTGTTCAGAGGTGCAACTAGAGGTGTGCGCCAAGAGATCAACGCGCTGCCGCCGACTGATCGACGCGCTGACGCCTCCGCCGCCGATGTGTTCTTTGGGCGCGCCATTTATGTACGATTAATTTTTTTGGTAAAACTGCCTTTCTTTGGCAGTTTATTCTGTCACCCGTAAATCGTTAGTCCTTTCTTAATTCTGCCCTCTAGTAAACGCTTCGCAGTGGATTCGCCTGCCATTTACAGTTAAATAACTGGATCAGAAAAACTTGTTAAGTGCTCCTAATAACGTAGGAAGGTAGTGTTGGACTCAAGATAAACGCTAATTTGAAGCTATACTTTCAAGCTCACTTTCATTAAGCGAATACAAGTCAGTGACAGTGCCAACGGCGGTGTTTGGCGACGACTATATACCAACATATTTTGTCCGACGATTGAGTCGACATACTCCTTTTCACACAATATAGACGAATAAAAGGTGTGGAAAGTCAGTATTGGAATAACAATCAATACGACTGTGAAAGCGAGTGAAGGAAAATTTACAGTTCAAAGGGAAATATTGGCGCTAGTTTAATGTAGAAGCGCTTCTAAGCGTATGAAGCTGTTTGCGGCATGCGTATTCATTTAGAAAAAGTCAGTTAAGGAATTGGCCTTTTATAAAGAGAGAAAGAGACGAACACAACAGACAAAATATGCTCTATAATACGATCCAGTTGGCAGCCTCAGCAAGGTTGACAATTAGGCGAGATTAGGATCACCATAAACTTCATGTGAAGTACTGCACATAACGTGAATGCATGTGGATAAAACACTAAAGTGTTGGAGTACGTAATGTCTTGTGTTTCCTCTGCTTTGTCGTGCACTCGCCAGAAAATCAAATAGAGTAATCTGCGCCTTACTTCGCCTGTTTTCTATCTTCGACTAACTAGATCTAGATGCCGATTTGTCACAATGGTGTGCGAAATAGGACCTCACTAACACAACTTGCTGTGCGAGTTGCTTCATAATATTCGGAAGAGGAAACCAGCGAAAGACACGAAGACAGCAAAGGAGAACAGCCACACCGAATAGGCGCTGGACTTCAAATACAATGTTTATTGCAGAAAGCTCACCCACACACAACCCAGCAATGCATGCATAATAGGCTATCTAAGTCATTTCACAGTTGCACCCCTAACAGTGCACAGGTGTTAAGGTGTTACAAACAGCACATTATCCTGAAACACTAGAATATCGACGCCACCGTGCAATCACTATGTAGCGACAAGAATTCTTTATCTGTATGGAAAGCTGATGGATGATTTACAAATGACGCTTTGCCATGTTTTGTTTTATCTTGATGGCTTTAAATACTTTACGGTCAAGCTTATCTTTTATTCCTTTGCCAATGACACTTTCAGTGCAGATGTGAGTTTCCAGCAGTACCTGTAGGGATTAGAATGCGGTGTTTACACAGCCTGTCATTGAAGCTGATCGGCCCTTCTGACCTTTGTAGACACGGCCTCATGACAGGGAAATTTCAAAACTCGTGTACGTCTGCGCTGCCAAGGCTGTAGCTGCGCCCCTAATTTCAAATCAGGGTGTCATAAAAAAAGGGAATTGAGAAATAACATTTAACATGAAACTTGCAAAGCCTTTGAAATTAATGAAAGAGGCAAAGTGACATATGTGATGTGAACCCATTTTTTTGTCTACAAGTGCATGTGGCATTGAAATTTTGGCGTTTTGTAAAATTGTGCTGTTTGCAACACCTTGACAGGCTTAATTCTTGGCTTTGTACTGTTAAACGTGCAATGTTACTAGGCTCAGATAGCCTATTATTCATGTGCTGATGATTCATGCGTGCGTTTATGTATGCACTGATGATTCATGCGTGTGGGGGCTTTCTTCAGTAAATATTTAGTTGTTAGTCCAGCACTTTTTGGGGGCTTTTGGTTGGCTTCTTATAAAATATACTTAGCTAAATATCATCACGTTCATCACGATGTGAGTGACATAACAGCCATCCTCACACCTTTCCTCTGCTCCCGATAACTTCCCATCATGCGCATATACGAAATGACTTCATCAACTCGTAATCTATTTCACCATTCGTCCACAAACTATACAGACCGATCGACCTCCTTTCAGCATGTTCTTCGAGACATTTAGAGAGATAATTTGAATTGTGCATAGTATTTTACCATAGACCATGGTCATGAGAGTGATTGAATAATTGATAAAACGGTCAAATAAAAACAGAACCCTTTATATGACAGATTACGAAATGGCGTTAAACTCTGTAGAGATATATAGGCTGTTCTAGAGGTCATTGAAGTGTTGTGGTCGTTCTGGCACAGGGGATTTGGAAAGTCAATGTCGAGGCAGCTTGAAGATACTGAAGGAAACAGGACGTTTATTTAGAAAGATTACAGGACAAGCATTTTGCTATGTGACGAACATACTGTGAAACCAGACGTAGATGTCGTCTCCATTAAGTCCACGCCCACACAAGTCGACATTTTGGACACGGTGTTGCCACCACACTTTACCTATGGCGCCAATGTGTCCCCTTCGTGATGTGAAAATCCAGCGGGGTCATAAGTCTCACGCTCGTGCTACTGGAGCAAGAAAAGGACCGCTGCTCGCCACGCTCAATCATCGGA